TGTGGCTTTTGGGGTTGCACATCTTTGAACAGAACCGTCTGGAAAAGTGATGTCAATGTGGTTTGGTGACATCATCAAGGTCACATTCAGAGAACACAAAATATCACGGGCAAGAAGATTAACAGGACAAGATGGAGAAAGTAGAAATGAATGATGAAAAGAAAGATTATTCCAAGTACAAGGAACGTCTTCAGAAAATGGCCACTCCTCTTTCCTGCCCGAGAAGCCAATAACAGATGTAGTACGCCTTGAACGTGGGAGTGGTGCGTTTAAAGTGGAGTACCTGGCTCCTGAGTCAATCAAGCACAAATGCTCTCATCCATTGATAGTCACACGGACCAGAGGCTCAAGAAACATGTTGTTTTGGCTCAGGAGGTCAACAGTCATAGCTTTTCGGCAGCCCTATTGGGGCATCTGGGTATAACCAGGTGCCTGATGTTGAGGTGTCACTTATGTGTGTGTTAACACATTAGTCGGCTGAGCAGGATAGGTCCCTGTCTGACCTTGCGGCTGCTGAGTCTGTTGTGTCTGCTGCTGATAAGGAAGTGGGCAATTGTTTGCCCAATGTCCTCTTTTGTTACAGATATTACACCTGTCGTCTCTAGCAAAATTTCTCCTGTTTTGTCTGAAACCCTGACCACGTGCTCGTGACCTGCCACGGTACTGAGAGCCACCGGACCTGCACTGTGAAGCGCATGGGCAGGTGTATGTCTGTGCAGGTGCAGGTGTATGGACGTTGTGCACCAAAGCAGATGAATTTGCAGATTGCTGTGGAGGTCCTGCTGCAACCATCTGGTTAACAGCAGTATTATTACTGTTAACTTTATCTAACATGTCTTTAAGTTGTGCTTTAGTGAGCTGTGCTTGTAAGGATGCAATTTCACGTTCCTCCTTTTCTCTGTCCTTTTTGTCATTGTCCACATATTGTATAATATGGGCTGACCATTGGTCATATGGCATTGCCTGGAGGCCAATTACTTGCTTGAGCCACTGCTGAATTCTGTCAGATAAAGACGCCTCGACCGCACTTCTAAACAGTACACCAACACTGCGGACCTCTCTGGGGTCTTCACCGCTGTAATTATGCCAAAGTTCCCTCACTCTCAGCATATACTGAGTGCCTGTCTCTCCCTTCTGCACTAGAATATGTGAGAGCTTGCCAGTCTGAGGTTGGAGTTGATATTTCATTCTGATTACGGGCCAAAGATCTTGTATGACAACATGAAGTGGAACTTCATCACCGTCTCTGTCTGTGTTAGCTAAAATCTCAATTTCTTGGAGCATAGCTAAGGAGCTACATGCCATGAAGATTCGCCTGAAGTCACCGAGAGCTGGCAGAGAGCCAGCGCATGCAGTGAGAAAGGCTCTGATCCATGGTGCCCCACCTTTGTCTAACGGTGGGAGCTGACCTTTAATAGCTGTCATGTCCTGTAAAGTGAAAGGAGTATACGTCATTGTAACTCCACCAGTGCCTGTGTCTGTTTGAAGAAGCGGCATTTGATGTGATGTCGTCTTGATGCAGCTGTGTATGTTGTGTGTTCGTCTACCTCTGCGTCTTAGAGCGGCAGTATACGGGTGTTGTACGTCTTCTTCAGCACTATCATTATCACTATCGGTCACCGGTGGGGCCCCGGCTGCGCCATGCCGGGCGACGTCACGGTCCTTGATTTTAATCTATTCATAAAGGGCTTTTGAACTGCTCTTAGTCTGGTTCGCATTATCTTGTTGAAATATTTGTCACGCTGGCTGAGCCTAGTGCACTATTCCTACCGGAAGTGCCGGACTCGCCAGAACAAGAGACGAGCGGAGCCCCAGACTCTGCGGTTATACAATCGAGATACTCTTGAGCCCGAGTCCAGTCCTCCTCTTGTCCTGGAAAATTTGCTGTTTTTAATTAAGTGATCTTTGCCAAGGGCACTGGCATGTTAAGTGATCTTTGCCAAGGGCACTGGCACGTCCCCAGACCATGACAGCCCCTGGCTTTTGGACATGTTGTTGGTAACAGTCTTGACCTTTTGGTCTTTGGTCCAGAGCACACAGTGTCCATTCCTTCCAAAAAAGACCCGAAACAATGATTGGTCTGACCACAGTGCATGTTTCCACTGTGTGATAGTCCATCCCAGATACCTCTGAGCCCAGAGCAGTCGACCTCTGGACACTGTTGACATAGGACTTCCTTTTGGCACAGCACAGTTTTAAGCAGCATTTATGGATGTAACTATGTATTGTAGTGCCTGACACAGGTGAGCCAAAGTCATCCTGAGCCCAGGTGGTTATATCACTTTCTTGATGCGGTGCTGTCTGAGGCATCGGAGAGCACGGTCATCCAGCTTAGGCTTGGCCCTCATCCTTTATGCACTGAAATCCCAGGGAGCCCCGGAAGTTTTGTTTACATTTGACAAAAGTATATATTGTACATACAGTATATTTATGGTAAATATGGTTTCCTGTAACTGCTCCAATCCACTGCCTTAGACAGTACCTCTCACGGGTTCTGTTTTTTCTTTGTTTTTGTTCAGCTTTGATGGAAGAGTAGTGGCCAAACTGCCCTTCGTACCACTGTCCTACATCCAAGGACTGTCGCATCGCAACCTCCTGGGCGAGGATTACACTGACTGCTCATTTATCTTCCTCTACATCCTCTGTACCATGTCCATCAGACAGGTAGCTTCTACACTTAAAACAACTTTAGACCTGAGGCGGGGTTAGTGCCTTCTTTAGTATATCACTGGGTACTCATGGATTTCATGGGCTTTATTGGTTTGGGTTTGAATCTGCATTTTTTTTTTTTTTTTTTTGATAAAAAACTAAAGTTTTTGCTTTGTGG